AAGGAGAAAAAAAAAGAAAGGAGAAAAAAAAGAAAAAAGAATGTAAACAGAGGACACTGATACTATGCCCAAGTTATATTGCTTGACAAGTCTTGCTGGAGAAACTTGATACTATAAAAGGCACTCAGAAGTTAAGTCATCCAGAGATAATTACGTTTTAAAAGCTAGACTTCCTACTGTTGTAGTTTTAATACCAAAGATTGTTTTGAAGCCTACAGAGGGAGAATCAAAACTTTAAACTATAGCTAGAACCACTACACCAGATCAGAGATTCATCTAAAACAGGTCGCCCAAGAATCTGGGAATCAAAATGAGAAGCTGTTCAACAGTAGGAAGATACAGCAAACTTCCCTCCCAATTCACTCAATTGTAAGACTTAATTTTATACCAAATAATAGGGAGACTTATAGCTTCCAAACCTTGGAGAAAACTTTGGGGTGTCAGAGACATGTTGTTATTCACCTGGTTTCCAATTCTTCATAGACTAAAGTTCACTGCTACCTTACAAAGTTCAAAAGCTTCCACAAAAATGTTGTATGATATAGTTACCCTTAATGCAAAGTTTGCTAACTTAATATTTATGTTTAATTTGCCCTTTTAGTTCTAAGAGAAAACTGTGTGTGTGTAATAATTTCTGCATATCACCATCATGTTGCATTACTTGTCCTGATCCATCCATTTTGGAGTTTTTCCCAATTTTGTTGTCTCTCCATATAGTTATCTTCTCCTCCTGTACCTCATTACTATTGCTTCGTCACTGAAGCAATATTCCACTGTGCTAATGGAACATGAACTAAATTTCTTCAATACAAGAAAACAGTGCTGTGTGACAGAAAAATATTCTGATACTCATTTGTGTGTGTGTCCCACTCTGAAGCCTAGTTCTTCTTTTTTGGATAATGCATACCTGCTATTAAATATATTCATACTGTATCCTGTCTTCTCTAGCTCACAATGCCAAGAAAAACCCTCAACTCTCTCTAACCCTCAAATGTCCCTCCTGCTCTGTAAGAACGTTTGTCCTCACAGCTCCTTTATTATTGCCATTTCTTATCCTTTCTTCTGTGTGCATCATTCTTCAACCCGTTACTTCAGCTCATCTCCAGATTACTACCTTAAACTTCAGATTGAGTTTTCCAGAATATACCACAGTAAGCAGGTAAAAAATTAACAGCAACAGAAAAAAGAAGGGAGACAGAGTTAAGCCCCCAGCAGCCAAATCTTTTGTACTTTATCTACAGCTTGTACTGGCACCCACTACATTAGCCAATTCAGCTAAATCAAACAATACCCAAGACTAAATACTTACACCATCAAATGCTATTAAAAATTCTGTTTTTAAACGCCTGCTAGCATCGTGTTCACCTTCTCGTCTTTCACATAGAAGGCTATCAACTTCATCTAAAAAACAAAGAACTACATCTTAATTAAGGATACAACATCAAAGTCTTCATATTTGCCTAAGTTCTTTTGCTAACACAGGGCTCCATAAGAGAGATCACATCTTTATTTCTTAGGAGACAGATAGATCTCAGTAAAGTTTAAAAGCTTGTGTAATGTGTTGTCCTTTGACTATGTAATACCAAGCACAGAGGAGAGGAAAAAAATTCTTGCTGATAAAACTGCAGCGGAGGACAAGCAAAACCAATATTCATGTTTGAAGTTTAATAAATAAATGGACTTACTCTGTAGAGTCAGCACAGTATTTGTGGTTCTGAGGGCATTTCTTCACACTATTAACACCAATTAAATAACAAAACAGTAATTTAACATGCTCTAGTATGGAACAACTGATAAGCCACAAGGTCACATCTGAGACACTTGTCCTGCAGCGCAGAATTACCCAAAAGAAGTTTATCCAATTATTCCAATTTAATAAGTAGGATTATTTAAGAAAATAAACAAGAGTCAACATTTAAGGTCTTACCAATAAAAATTATAGAAGGCTGAAGTTCTCTGGCTACAGCAAATAGAGCACGCACCAGCTTCTCCCCTTCGCCAACCTAAAACAACAATAAATTGGTTTTGGAGGGAGTTTAGAAAGTTTTTACCACAAGACAGCAATGTAAGTGGCCTACAGAAAACCTTGCTGATAGCCAGTTGTACTCAGTCCATTTATACACACTCAGATTATCACTAGTTCAGTGCTACATATGTCTTAAAAGAAGCATTACAATTTCACTTATGATCACAATTCAGTTAACTGTCAAGAGATTTTGGTGCCTAAATTAAAGAGAGTTAAAGGTAGCTGGGACCCACTTAATTTAGTTTTTAAAAAAGAAAAACTCCACAACCACTCACCTACAGGACAGTCAGGGTCATCCTGAAGTGCAAAAACCTTTCACATTATTTATCACAAGTACAAACTGAATTTTTTTACTTCACAAGTCACTTTTTAAAAACTATGGTCACTACAGGCTAACAGGTCACCAAGGACCCAGACATCTCTAGCTTTCTCAAGACCAAACTACAGGATGTGTGTTTTCAGATCAACATAATTTCCAGCTGCTACTTACGTATTTTGAAGTTAGGCTCGCTGCACTTATATTAAAGAAAGTAGCATTTGACTCTGCAGCAACTGCTTTGGCCTAGGAGAATGGGGGGAAAAAAAAAGTACTTTTTGAAACATCACACTGAAGATAGTTCTCTTCTTCCATAGCAAGCATTCATGTCCTGATTTATGGTTTTGAAAAACCCTATTTCTTCAAAGAGAACACCTTGTAAATGGGACAGAAAACTTCTGTACAGGCCACTTACAAATAAGAACGGATAAGCAGGCAAACCACTAAAGAAATTTCCAGACTCCCTTAGACTTCTCTAATCACATTTATTCCATAGCCAAGTACAACTTGCTTACTGAAGAATACAAGACCCCAACTCCTTTCAATCTATCCTGAGTAGACATCTGAATCGACTTTAACTAATTTTGTGTGGTAATTTAAGGCAGCAGTTGGATCAAATCACATTAAAAATTATGGTGGGTTTTTTTTTTTTCTCCTTACCCTATCTATAAAACAAGCAGCTTTCCTGAAAGCTAGTAAATACAATCAGTTCAGTCAGAATGCTCATTCAAGATTGCCTTCTTCAACAATTTCAGCATATTCAAGAAATTATGATTGCCTGGTTATACAGTTTAATTTTAGTGATCAGCAATTATGTTCTAGTATGCAAAACACAACAGTTGAGCCTAAGGGGGCTCCTCAACATTCACACTCCTGCACTTCAGAGCTGATCCAGCTCTAGTGCCAGCAAAGAGAGTGTGCAGCTGCAGCCATGCCATGTGATGCAGGATGCTGTGCCCAGCTCAGCTGCATCAGGACACTCAATGCTCCCTGGCTGATGCACAGCCATTTCACTCCAGTTCCCCAAATCTAGTACATCAGGCTGAGAAAACAAGCTGCAGCCCGACAGTTCAACAGCCCTTACACTCTTCGCACATCAGTGTGTGAGACAATCCTCTTTCTTGCTACTGTGCTCCCTCCCCATTTTCGAAATGTATTTCTCCATAAAATCCAGAGTTAGGAACAATTTCACATTTCTGTATATAAAATGACACCATAATACATATTCAAGAAGAACATACAGTTTATTACCACACAAGCCAAACTAAAAGGTACCCTTCCTGGTTACATTTTAAGCCCACCAACTCATGCGTGAAGTAATTTTCTCACCAACATTGTCTTCCCGTTTCCTGGTGGGCCGAACAGCAATAAACCACGGGCAGGAGCTCTTAGACCTGTAAATAACTGAAAAGCACATCATCATAAGTTATCTTCAAAGACTTTAATAAAACAGTGCTTTGCCTTTGTAAGAAAATGGTCTAAGACTGAGGAATGGCTCACTGGTTAGCAGTGCTTGTAACAGTAGCAGTGCCACAACAGTACAGGCTTTGAGAGAGCTGTGCTCTCTGTGACTAACTTGACCTAATGCACACCACTATTGTTTCCCACACAGCAGTTAAATTACATTATGTTTGTTCTGTGCATGGATGCACTGTGAAAGTAGTTTAAAACACTCTCCACAAGACAGACTAGCCTATCAAGTTTAAAGCACCAATTCCAGTTACAAAGGAGGTACTGCAGGTGTGTAGTAGGAGAGCTAAAGCAATGTTCCTACAATCTCCATATGGAAGAACTCCATCTTTCCTTTTTTATTAAATGAAACTTGAGAAGACAAGCTTTCAACAAAACTATTTAGAATATTACTTAACAACCACCTACTCCCTCTATATGCTACTGATAGTCATCTCCTCCCTCTCACTTTGCACTGGGTTCATCTTTCCCACACCATAACATAGCACCAATCATATGTAGTATCACAGCAAGCAAGTGTAAAAATTCTCAGAGAGAACACATCTCTTAGTTGTTACTGTTGCCTGTTTTCTCCAGCACTTTGTCTTTACTCCCTTCCTCAAAACTTTCAGAGTTCCTTTTTTGGTCTCACGCTCACCCCTCCCTTCCAGGTCCTAATAATTCCACCAAACAAGCAAAAGGAAAAGTAGAGAATCTCTTATATATACATCCCATGTCTAAACAGCTCTGTCAGGAGACATTTCTTTCAACAATATCCATGAAAACAAATAGCTCCATTACCAGTGTTGTATTTCTACCATGACTAACATGCATTTTCTCTATTATTTCATCATCCACAGCATTTTGTTTGTGCTTGACTCTGATCACTAAAAGTGGTTACCCACCTATTCACTAAGTGAACACTCCAGTGTTTCTGCTTTCCGTGCTGCACACCACCATCTGCATTTTCTGTCTGACTCCTTTGTTTGAAATCATTCTTTGGAAATTCCATCATGTTCACACAGCCCAGGCCCAATCTATAACTTCCTCACCTTGATAATCACCTACACAGTTCAGCTGCAACTGTCATTTATCACCAAGAAACATTAAGCTTTTCAGGTTTTGTTAACCAACTAATCATGATCTGAACTAATTGCTACCATTTCATTAGCATCTTACTGCTGAAATGACTGCAGCTGGCATTTTCTGTTTATGCACCTCAACTCTTGCTCTCCCCAAAAAATACCATTAATTGGCTTGTTAAATATGAACTTGAGTTCAAAACTCATTAGGGTTAAAACTTAACTAGGGTTAATTTACTAAATATCCCCCTATACTTGCTACATGTACTATGTTCATTTACAAGGAATAAAACCAACCTCTCTTCTTCCAAAGAAAGTTTAAAAATTCACAGGATTCTTGGCTCCTATTACATCTCAACCTACACTGAGGTCAGGCCAGCTACAATAATAGGAAGACAACCTCACTGAAAATACCACCTGTTACTGCAAAAGAGCCATAACTACTCCCAGCCTCACATCTCAAAGTCCTTCCCACCCAGGTCGTTGTATCAGTGTTACTGAACAACAAACTTGACACACTACAGCACTGTAATAACAGAGGTGGAACAGTGACATTTTCCTTCTGCATAACATCATCAGAGCATGCACATTTATTGCCAAAGTTTCCCTTAAGCTTAATATTTCTGTGATGCTATGCCAGGTTTAGGGTTTCTTCCCTGCAATGCTTCAAAACCAGAAGCTGCATTAAGAGGAAAACCAGAGCAATTCCAGTCACCTGTCAATGTGACAAATGAGACCCAGAAGCCAACAAAGTACAAACAGCAATTTTGCTTCAATAAGCATAGAATCATAGAGTGGTTTGGGTTGGAAGGGACCTTAAAGATCATCTACTTCCAACTCTCCTGCCATGGGCAGGGACACCTCTCACACATCCACAATTTCTCTGTGCAACAAGTCTCCAGCACCTCACCACCCTCACAGTGAAAAATTTCTTCTTAACATCCAAACCTAAGTCTTGTTTGAAGTCTTTCCCCCTTGTCCTGTCACTACCTGCCCTTGTGAACAGCTCCCCTCCAGTTTTCTTGTAGGTCTCCTTCAGGTACTGAAATGCTGTAATAAGGTCACCCTGGAGCCCTCTCTTCTCCAAGCTTAATAATCCCTATTCTCTCAGCCTTTTCTCATAGTAGAGGTGCTCCATCCCTCCAATCACCTTGGTGCTCCTCCTCTGGACTCACTCCAACAGGCCAGTGTCCTTCCTGTGCTGGGGACCCCAGAGCTGTACACAGTACTGCAGGTGGGGCCTCACCAGGCACTGCAGTAAATCACCACACACAATTTCTGCAAAAAGTCATGCCACTTCTAGCAAACTAGGCCTTAGAAAATGACCAGTTCGATTTTTTTTAAAGTAACTTCAAAAACTCCAGTAATATATAGACCAGGCCTGGATCTAGGCAGTAATAGTAGCTGAGGTATCATCTATGATCAGTAAAAGTCTAAACGACCAATTTCCACGCTGCCAAATAAAGAGGAAATCTGCCCTTAAATGTTACGTACTTAAGTGTACTTGCTTGTTCACTACACTTCTTTGCATTCTCTCCTGCTAGAAAAAACTATTCAGAGTGTCTAACCAACACGTTAGATGACCACAGCAACAATATAGCATTTTTCCAATCAGATAGTGCCATGATCTAATTTACTTATACAGTTCTCATCCGTTTCACTCTTCCAATTCAGATCTTTGACCTTTACATGGCCACGTAGGGCTGGACACCAGTTATAGCTATCTGGAACACTAAGCCTCACAAACTGTGAGGATTTTTGTCTGTTTGTTCTTGCTGTTTGTTTCGTGGAGGTTTTGTTGGTTTTTTTTTTTTTAGGGGTTTGTGGTTTGATGGTTTGGTTTTGGCTTGGGGTTTGTTTTTTTTAAGCTCTTGCCCCAGCCACTTTCTCCAGCATTGACTAACCAGAAGACAAGGAATTTTATGACAGTATTTTAACACATCGATCCTACATTCCCCAAGATGGCTATCACCACACAGCTACTGATAGCAATCGTGATCAG